ATTATTTTCATAAATAACAATATTCATCACGAGAATAAAATTATTTTCAAGAGAAATAAAATTCTTTTCAGAAATTCAATTATTTTTAATAAAAATTTTTAAAAAATTCTCGTCATGATTTCATTTATCTTTATAAACAACAAAATTTTTCGCTGAAATTCAATTATTTAAAAAATTTTAATGAAATTCTACGCAAACAAATTCACACAATAATTCAATTATTTTTATAAATAATAAAACTGTTCTCAGGAATTTAAATATTTTCATTAATCATAAAACTCGTCGCAGGATTTTCATCATTTTTGACACAATTATAATCGAATTCCTCGAAAAATGTAATTATTTTTAAAAATTTTATTACAATTCGTCCAAAGAATTCAATTATTTAAAAATTTCTTGATAAAATTTTTTATGAGAATAATCGATTTATTATTTATGAAAGTAATTGAATTCTTGCAACGAATTTTATGACATTTTTTAAAAATAATTTAATTCTTTTTATAAATTGTAAAAATGTTGTAAAAATGTTGTAAAAATGTTGTAAAAATAATTGAATTCTTGCGAAGGATTTTATTAGGATTTTTGTGAATAATTAAATTTTTTTTCAAAAATTTTATGGTAATTTAAATAATTATAAAACATGAAGAAATCGATTACTTTAATTCTTCGACTCGGAGTGATCGATATCTTCGTGTTTTAATATTTTGATAAGTTGTTAATTTCAAAAGGTTGAATTTGAAATTTTTGAAAATCTTCATTCCTATGGAAAAATAATAATGAATTAATATTTATTTAAAAAAGAATTTATTGATGTTTTCGAATAATTTTCCAATTAAAGAAATTTATAAATAAATGTAATAGAAAATATTTTTGAGTATCTAATAATTTTTAGAGTGATTAAGAATATTCTTTAGGGTCAGGGAGAAAGACAACATTTTTTTCTGGAAATCAGGGAAAAAGAAAATTAAATATTTGTATCAAGTATTGCACAACAACAGAAGCACACACATGTGTTTAATCGTAACCATCAATACATCGACATTAATGTTTAGGTATGTACTTGTTAACCGTGATTAGTTAAACTCGATTCAACCGCACTTTGGCAAGAGCTTGAATATATTATAGACACAAGTGAAATGCTCTATAAATTAATTACTGTTTGCCAGCTTGGTTAATGAAAAGTGTTTCGTAATTGAGAAAAGCAATAACTATTTGCATCAATAATTCATAACAAATAAAATTAATTACTGCATAACAGGGAAAATAAACTGAAATTTAATAAAGATTTCAACTTTCCGCATTTTTTCGAAATGTTTAAAAATATTATCAAATTTTTCTATAGTTTTTCTATACTTTAACGAAAAGTTTTCTTCCCTCAACATTTTTCATTGAACTTCACATTAAGAGGAAATAACGCTTGACAAACTCAAGTCAAAAGCATTGATTTCTATCTCACGGCTTCTTAATAATTGAAATCAAGATTAGATTCCTTCTCATTTAGTTAACATTGATCTTTCGATTAAACTTTAAACTATTCAACTCAAATTGAGTTTGACTAGAGTTGGATTTAATCTGATGACTAAATTGAATTGTGGCTTCATCTAATTAACTTTCAAATTAGAAAACAAAATAAATTAGTTTAATAAATGAAGACAGTGTTAAAGTGAATTTTCTACACATTATAGTGAAGCATGTAATTTAAATTATTTTCATTAATTTTATGTTTATCGTAATTTATATGTGAGGAAATATATTGGAATTATTATAGTTTTCGCATAGACATTGCGAAAAGTCTTTCTAATTAAAAACCGTTAAGTGGATTATTGACTGAAGAGGATGAATCTTTTCATGAAGATTCGTAGCAATTAATTAGCAACTTCCAAGAGAGGAATTGGTAATAATTTTTTATCCCTTAGTTTCATCGTATTTTATAATTGAGCAATATTGAATATTTTTTAAAATCACTTTAATTTTTATAACTTTTTTTACAAGTTTTAGTTTTTTTTTTTTTTATTAATAAAATCTTTTCTGTGAATGCAGGCAGTCGATTAGAAATACAAAAAAAAAATCGAAATGGTCGTGAGTATTTTATTCATTGTTGTCACAAAAATTTCATTTTGTGTTTTTCTGTGAAAAAAAGGTGAAAAGTTTTATTTTTTCATTGAAGCAATTTTTGCCATTGTGTGTGAAAATAACGCTGATTGGTGAAAATTAGATGAGTAATTTACTGTCAGTATTTATAAAAAAATTTTCACAGAGAGCATTTCATAGTAAAGGAGATTCAATAGCCTGCAATAATCTACTGATAATAATGAAAGTTAATTAATTAAAAATAAATAAAAACTTTAAATAATTTTAAAAAATGTCGATTAAGCTTTTTGAAAAAAATTAGTTCCTTAGAATTTTTAATTAAAAGTATGAAAAATTCTAAATTTTAAACCTTTACAAAATTCAATTATTTCTAAAAAAAATTGTAATCAACAAATTTTTAAATAATTGAATTCTTTAGACGAATTTTAATAAAATTTATAGGAATAATTATTCCTATTTCAAGGAATTCGATTAAAATTACATTAAAAATAATTGAAATTCTGCGATGATTTTTATAATTTATGAAAATAATTAAATCCCTGTAAAAAATTTTATTATTTATGAAAACATATGAAACATATAAAAACATATAAAAGAATTTTATCAACAAATTTTTAAATAATTGAATTCTTTTGACGAATTTTTAAAAAAAATTTTAAGAATAATTACATTTTTCGAAGAATTCGATTAAAATTGTTTTAAAAATAATTGAATTCTTTTCGTAAATTTTATTAAAATAGTAGAGTATTCAAAATCATTGAATTAAGAAAAATTTTTGTAAATAATTGAAATTTTGCTATAAATTTTAATATTTTTGAAAATAATTAAATTTTATTACTTTTAAAAGTAATTGAATTTTTGTCAGGAATACTATAAGGTATTTATGAAAATAATTAAATTTTGCGATGAATTTTAGTAAATTCATATTTAAAAAAATTTTTATTAGAAAATTCTACGAAAATTCAATTATTTATATACAAAAATAAATAATTTATTGAAGAATTGAATGATTCCCAAAATTGAATTCTCATAAAGAATGTTATTAACAAATTTTTAAATAATTGAATTCTTATGACAAATTTTATTAAAATTTATAAGAATAATTACATTTCTCGAGAAATTTGATTAAAATTCTATTAAAAATAATTCAAATTCTGACATGAGTTTTATTATTTATGAAAATAATTAAATTATGGCAAAGCACTTTATTAAAAAATTTTCAAAAATTGATTTTTCTTTTTAAAATAATTGAATTTCTGTGAAGTTTTTATTATTTAGGAAAATAACTAAATGTTTGCATAGAATTTTATCAAAACTTTTTTCAAAGAATTGAATTATTTAGGGAAATTTAATTAAAATAGTAAATATTAAAAATCATTGAACTGAGAAAAATTTTGCCAAGAATTTTATTAAAATTTTTTGAAAATAATTGAAACTTTTCCAAGAATTTTATTAAAATTCTTGAAAATAATTTAATTTTGTCGAAGAATTTTACTATTTGTTGACGACAATTTTTTTTAGATTTTTTGAAAGTAATTGAATTTCTGTGAATAATTTTATTAATTTTGAAGATAATTGAATTCCTGTGATCAATATTAGTATTTATGAAAATAATTGAATTTTGCAAAGAATTTTATTGAAATTCTTAAAAATAATTCGATTTCTGAGAAGAATTTTGATAATTATCAAGATAATTGGAATCTTGACGACAATTTTTAAAAAATTTTTAAAATAATTGAATTTCTCAGAAGAATTCCATTACTTTTGAAGATAAGTGAATTCTTGTAATGATTATCGATATTTATGGAAATAATTGAATTTTTCAAAGAATTTTATGACAATTTTTGAAAATAATTGAAATTTTGTCAAAAATTTGTTTAAAATTCCTGAAAATAATTAAATTTCTGAGAATAATTTCATTACTTTTGAAAATAATTGAATTACTGTGAAGATTTTTATTACTTTTGAAGATAATTAAATTCCTGTAATGAATATTATTATTTATGAAAATAATTGAATTTTACAAAGAATTTTTTTTTAATTCTTGAAAATAATTTTTGACATTTATTTTAATAATTAAAATCTTGATAAGAATTTTAAAAAAAATTTTGAAAGCAATTGAAATTTTGCGAAGAATTTTATTAATATTCCTGAAAATAATTGAATTTCTGAGAAGAATTTTAATATTCATTAAGATAGTTGAATTCTTGCAAAGAATTGCGTTATTATTTTTAAAATTGAAACTAATTTCAATACAATTGAAATTAAAATTAATAAAAAAAAGTCTTCTTTAAAGGATTTATAAGTAATAACTTTATGGCAGTTCTTTAATAGAATGAAGTTATTTAAAATAAATTATTTTCAGAAATAGAAAAAATTGAAGGTTTTATTTTAGAATTCGTGGTAATTTTATAGTCTATAAGGCAAACAAAAAGGCACAAAAATTGAGAATTTTCTTATAAATTCTAAACATTTAATTTTTTCCAGTATACTGTTAATAAGAATTTCTGACTTTTTCCTCATTTCCACTTGAGAACGCCAAGGTGGCCAAGGTCCACACTAGGTGGCGTGGAATCTGATTTTGACAACTGAAATGCCATCTACCGGTGACCTTGGGGTTCGCAGGTGGAGAATACCATCTCCATATTGAATCTCAAAATTTTCGTCACTTAATATTCGTAATTCTATAATTTTTTATTGTTAGACATTTTAGCGAAATAATCATCATTAATACATAACTGAAATAATGCTAAAATAACGCGAGGATGTATTTTCTCCTTTTAGTGTCAATTGATATTTAACTATTGAAATTTCTGATTTTCTTGTACCTACACAATAAAAGAAAATTGAATTTATTTGAAGTATTTCCATCCAAAGATTAACATATATAAATAAATTTTTTCTTTCAGTTTTTGTAGTTGGAGTTTTGACCACAAGTGAGGAGAATGGCTCGAATATCATTGTTGCTCATCGGAGTTGGTATGATGAGCATTTTGAGAATGGGAAGTGGCGAACTTTATACGGCATTGGCTGATATGGAGGAACTGTTGGAGACGGAAGCCGTTCTGATCGACACACTTCACGGCTACATCCAAGCCCAGGAGCAACGATTGGCGATTCTTCGAAGGTGAGTCTCTTGTATAACTGAAATTACCGCCTTTATTCATGAAAATCATGCGCTTTTTCTTTCATCACTCCTGGTCGAAATGCATTCCTGACCTTCTTCACTTACACACGGTATAACTTACCAACAATAAAAGAGAAAGGAGAGCTTTAAAAGCGTTTCTTACCTTCGATCCAAGAGGGTCATTTAGAGTTGAAAAACTTTTATTTTTATGAGCTTCCCATTGACTCTGATTCAAGGGAAGTTACCACTCAACTTTTACGGTAAAAGAAGTTTTAAGTTAAACGCACAAAAATTACAAATAGGAGTTTTTGTAAATTGAGTGGAAGCTTTTTTTAAACTTTTGAATTTCTTATTCTTTTTTCCTCATTGAGGTAAAAACTCTTTTCAAATGAGAAATGAAAAGAGTTTACAGTTTCTTTAAGGAGGCTTTAAAAATTATCGCAGTTCTCACACTCTACTTTTTATTACTGCATCATTATTTATGAATAGAATTATAGTAATTAAATATTTTTTAAAAAAAACATATTTCCTAAGATTTTTTTAATACATTTAAATAGTATGTCTATAAATAATGTTTAAGTGCATATCTAAACTAATTATAAATGAAAAAGAAAATTTTCTGGGAATTGCAACAGTTTTTTCTAACACATAATAACAGGGTTCCCACAGGTTAGAAAAATCAGGGTATTCAGGCAAAAATCAGGGAAAGTAAAATTGGTTAGGGAAATCAAGGTAAAGTCAGGAATTTTTATTAAAAGTACTGAAAAAAATGGAATTTTTAAAATTCATAAGAAAATTTTGAATATTAGTGACTTTTTAATATGCCTCATAAACTATGAAATTACCACGAATTCTAATACAAAACCTTCAAATTTCTCTTTTTCTGACAATATTTTCTTTTTAAATAAACTTAATTTTTACAATTATCATAAAATAATTACTTATTGAAAATATTTAATGAATAATTTTACTTAAATGATTTCAGAAATTCAATTAATTTCAAAAATTTTAATAAAATTCTCGGCAAAAATTCCAATTTTTTTTATAAATATCAAGATTCATCGCAAAAATTCAATTACTTTCGAAAGTAATAAAAATCTTTGTAGAATTTCAATTATTTCCAAAAGTAATGAAATTCTTCACAGAAATTCAATTAAATTAAAATTTTTTTTTAAATCTCGTCAAGATTTCAATTTTCTTGATAAATATCAAAATTCTTGAAAGAAATTCAATTATTTTAAGAAATTTTAACAAAATTCTTGTCAAAATTTCAATTACTTTCAAAATTTTTAAAAAAATCTCATCAAGATTTCAATTATTTCAATAAATGTCAAAAATCCTTTCCAAAATTCAATTATTTTCAAGAATTTAAAAAAAATTCTTTGCAAAATTCAATTATTTTCATAAATAACAATAATCATTACAGGAATTCATTTCTCTTCAAATAAGTAATAAAAATCTTCCTAGAAATTCAATTATTTTTAGGAATTTTTTTAAAATGGGATAAATGTAATCTTGACGCTACAATGTCTGGAAACCTGGAAAACCTGGAAATGTCAGGGAATTTTATTTTGTATGGAAAAGTCAGGGAATAGTCAGGGAAAAATGAGAAAACACCTGGAAAATAATTTTCTGTTAAAATTATGTAAAAATAATTTATTTGATAATAAAAAATCAGTCACTGATTTAAATAAAGTATGTAAATAAATTTTAAAAAATTATGGAATCAATAGAAATTTTGTGAAATTCAACTGAAAATAATTAAATTTGTTAAAGAATTTCATTAGAAACTTTTTAACAAATAGAATTTTCAAAGTATTTTAATTTAATAATTGATAAATAATTGAATTTTATAAAGAGTCGCATTCTAATGTATTCATGTTATTTAATTTCAAAATTAATAATTTAAATTTTTATTGGGTAATTTTAAATAAACACACGCTTAAAATTTTTTAATAAAATTGGATTTTTGCAAAGTTTTTTTGAAAATTTTGAAAAATAAGATTTTTTAAATTTTTTAATTCTATTGTTTCAAGATATTTGAATTTTTATAAACAAAAAATTCAAAATTTTTGAATTAATTGAAATTTCTTTACGTTTAATTTTATTTATTGAAAATAATTTAATTTCTTTTAATTAATTTATTTATTTACTAATTAATTATTTTTATTTATTTACTTATTAAATAAACAATTAATTATTAGGTACTGCTTAGTATTGTCAAAAATTTTAATAAAATTCTTCGCAAGAATAAAATTATATTCATAAATAATAGCATTCTTTGGAAGGATTTAATTACTTTCATAAAAAATATAGTCAAATTCCTTGCAGAAAATCAATTATTATCAATATAATTTTAATAAAATTAAAAAATAAAATTTTCAATTATAATTATAAACAGACAAGATTATTTTTAAAAAAGTTAAAAAAATTCTTTGTCTAACTTAATTATTTTCCAAATTTCTAATTAAAAATTATTAAAAAAACATTATTCTCAAAAATTTCAAGAAATTCGTCAAAAGAATTTAATTATTTATAAAAAATAAAAAAAATTTTTAAAGCCATTTGTAGATTTAAATAATAAACACCCTGAAAACCATAAAATTTTGAAATATTTTATTTTCGCGAATGAAAAAATGTTTAAAACTGAGTTATTTTTCTAGAAGTGATTAATATAACAATAAAATATGCTATGTTTGCATAAATTTTGCTTTTTAATTAATTACTTTTTATATAAATCACACTTATAATGTGTATGGAAAAATATTGTTTGAGACCTGGAAAACCTGGAAAAGTCAGGGAATTTCATTCGAGAAAAATTGTAGCAACCCTGATTAAATATCAAAATTGTTTTCAGAAATTCAATTATTTTCAAGAATTTTAAAAATAAATTTTTTCAAGATTTTTAATAAAATTCTTTGAAAAATTGAATATTTTTCGAGAATTTTAATAAAATTTTTTGCAAAATTCAATTATTTTTATAAATAATCATATTTATTACAGGAATTCAATTATCTTCAAAAATAATAAAAATCTTTACAGTTATTCAAATATTTTCAAAAGTAATAAAATTATTTTCAGAAATTCAATTATTCTCAGAAATTTAATTATTTTCAAGAATTTTAATCAAATTCTTGACAAAATTTCAAATTTTTTCAAAAATTGTAACAAAATTCTTGGAAAAGTTTCAATTATTTCCAAAAAGATTAATAAAATTCTTAGCAAAATTTTAATTTTTTTAAAAAAATTTTTCTCAGTTCAATTATTTGTAATATCTACTATTTTATTTAAATTTCCTTAAAAGAATTCAATTCTTTAAAAAAAGTTTTCATAAAATTTAATGCAAACATTTAGTTATTTTCATAAATAATAAAAACTTCATAGGAATTCAATTATTTTAAAAAGTATTGGCATCAATTGTTTCGAAAAAAATCAATTATTTCAAAATTTTTAATAAAATTCTGTGCCATAATTCAATTATTTTCATAAATAATAAAATTCATAGAGGCTTCCGTTTCCGGTACCGTTTCGGTGTACACGCGTTTGGAAAGAGTTAAGAGTTTTTTGAGAAATATAAAGGTTTTAAAATAGGGTGGGTAGTGTAGAGTGCTGAGTGTGTAGTGTAATTTGCGGTAGTATAAAGGAAAGGTATGTTTGTATAGAGTAGTGAATGTATAAGTGATAAAAAAGGTAAAAAAGAGAAGTGTGTTTTGTGAGGTTAGGTTGCTTGAAGTGAGAGAGAGGAGAGAGAGACAGTGGAAAAATTTTGAGCATTTGAGTGATAAGGTAGATTTCTGGAATGTCTGAGTTTGACTCAAGTAGTGTTAGCGAGAATAAGAAAAAGGCGCGGGTATTTGAAAGGGGAATAGGAAAGAATGGAAAAAAGATGACGTGTGAGGATTGCATGGATTTGTTGGAATTAGTATGGATGATGAAGGACGCGATGGATGAAGGAGCTGAGAGAGTGAAGGAAAATTTGATGGATATATGTGAGGATGGGGAATCAAGGGACAAAGAGATAGTGGAAATTGAAGAGAGGTTGGAGAAATTGCAGGAAATGTGGAATGAATAGAATAGTAAGTGGAAAAAGGATAAGGAAAGCATGTGAAGAAGAATGAATGGATTAGAAAAATTTATAAAGGAAGTGAATGAGGGGACAGAGAAAGTTGAGGGAAGTGAACATGACAGGTTGAAGTGGAAAATGGCGGATTTGACAAGGCGAGTGGATGTAGTTGAAAAGGAGAAAAGAAAAAAGAATGTAGTGATCAGAGGTATGAATGTAGGTGTGTTGGAGGGTAAAAGGGCAGTGGAAAAAGTGTTGGCTTGGGTGGGGGTTAATGTCTCGGTGAAAATGGTACAAGCGTTAGGAAGGGGTGAATATGGTTTGCCAAAGTTATGGTTGGTGGAGTTAGGTAGTGAGGAAGAGAAAATGGAGGTGATGAGGGCGAAAGGAAGACTGAAAGGAAGTGTAATAAGAATAGATGAGGATAGAAGTTGGAGAGAGAGAAGAAGGATATGGTTATTGAGAGAAAGAGCGTGGACGGAGAGAGTGATTGGGAAACAGGTAAGAATGGGTAAGAAGTGTGTTTGGGTGGATGGGGTAAAGTATGTTGTGGGGGAGGATATGGGTGGAGTGATGGAAGTGTGTAAAGTGTGATAGACAGGGATAGGCTGTGAATGAGGTGAGAAGATTTTGCTTGGATGGATGGATGGATAAAAGTGGATGACTGGAGTGTGTAAGAGAGGTGAGAAAGCAGGTTTTTGAAAAAAAGTGGGCGAATTGGATTGAAGCCAGCATGGGCATAGAAGGAACTGGAAACGGAAGCCCGGCACTGGCGATAGGTTAAGAGCGTAAGGTTGAGAGCGTGGAGAGAGTTGTGTTTTAGGTTAAGTTGTATGTAGAGAATGTTTAGTTGTAAGGATTTTTGTAAATATAGGTTAAGATTATTATGTATGTACTTGGGAGTCTCGAACCCTACCTATTGTAGGGAGAGTAAATA